TCGGGGGGGGGGGTATTTGCCTCCCGCTCTCTTCTCTCCTCCCCCCTTGGCCCCGCCCCCGCTCGGCTAGCGTGCAGGCATCTCAGGCAGCCCGGGGGGCGAGGGGTTGTGCTGGCGATTGCTGTCCGGGGAGCGCAGGCTCGCGGTGCATGTCACTGGGGCTGGAATCCCTTCGCTGCCCAGCCTCCGGGGCAGCAGGCCGAGCTGCTGAAATACAGTCCCCGCTGCCTTTCACTAATTGCGAGTCAGCTGCTTGGCGTGCAGGGGTGTGACGGGGAGGGGATCCGCGCTCAGGTAGGTGGCCCCCCTGCCTGCGCTGGGGTTAGGGAGCAGGGGCTGCTGGGGTGGCAGGCTGCCGGCTAGAGGAGCGAGCGGAGCAGGAGGGGACGGAAGGGTGAATGGGGAAGTAGAAAGATGCAAAGGCGGGGGGGCTTGTGGGGCACCTGCAGACGGGCTGTTTTAGCGGGGGGCTGTGGGCAGAAAAGCAGCAAGGAAGGCTTTAGTTCTCGTCTGGCATCCGCGGCCGAGGGAGCGAAAGGACGCGAAGGCAGCTGGCGGGTTTGCCAGGAGTCCCTGTTGTTTTCGGGAAGATCCTAAGCACGTTATTTGCTTGTTTCTGTTCCAACAGATCGTCTCTCCCCTGGCTACATTTCCCAGACTGAATGCGCGGTTGCTCACTTGGGCTGCCTGAAGGGAGTTTCCCCCAGGCCTGGCTGTCCCCTTCTTCCCAGCTCCGAGCTGGTGTTGAGCACTACAGATGCTAACACAAGCACTGCGGACTGTGGAGCGGGGTTTTCATGCACGTTTGCCGAGGTCCCTGTCGCTGGCTGCTGCGGTTGAAATTGTAAAAGGGTTGGTGAATGGTAGTGCAGAGGGTGGGTGTCGTAGGTGACTTTTAAATGGACCGGTCAGGTTGTTTGAGAAGTTTTCCCCTGTGCTCAGATGGTTGGTGAGACAGAAATCAGCTTGTTTAACACAGTGTTGGGGAGGGGGAGTTTGCTGCGTGAGAAAAGGCGTGCCAGCCCGGAATAGCTACAAGCAAAAGAAGCAGAGAACCTTGGTTGAGTTTATTTTGGTGCCTGTACATGATGGGGAGGGGCCCTTTGAAAACGCCCATGGGCACCTGGTCCTGTGGCACGTGAGTGTTATCGTTTGCCGCTAGGTTGGAGGGTGCTGCCTCACTTCTTTTGGTGAGGGGAGAATGAAGTGGAAGCCGGGGGTGTCTCTGCCGGACCTCGTGGGCATCCCGAGAGGCCAAAGGCCGCTGTGCGATGTGGCGGCGTGTCTGGTGAGCTGCTGCTCGCAGTGGGAGCAGGGAGATATGCGCCGTCGCTACCGGGCGAGTCTTTTCAGCCAGGATTATTTTTTTCATTCTCCTGCATTCAGTTCGGTAGCAGCCGCAGTGCAACTCGGCCGCTCGCCCCAGCCAGCGCTGGCCTTGTGGGACGTACGCGCTGGATTCTCCCTTCTTTTCCAGTGGGAGCGTGTCTGCGTGCAGCACGGTGCGGGCCGCTCTAAACTGCGCTGTCTTGTCCTCTCTCTCTGACTCCTAGTGCTCCCTGCACCCCCCGGTCCTGGTGACATGCAGGGGTGCTGAGCGCCCTGGTTCTGGCAGGTGGGGCTGTGCGGACAGACTAGGGCACCGGCTGTGCGCCTGCACGTGCCCGCACGCCGCCGGCGCCATGGCTTCCTTCGGGAAACTGACGGAGTACTTCAGCCTGAGGAAGTCGAGGAACGAGTTCCGCTCGGAGCGCCGGAGCGGCCGTCGGAGCGGCAGCTATTGCTGCAGTGTCACCGAATGCAGGTACTGGGAGGCAAAGCGCCCCCCTTCCAGTGCATCTGCCTGTGTATGTGTGGGGGGGGGGGGCCCGGGGGCGGCCTCCATCTGTGTAGTCACCAGAGAGTGGGGGCCAGAGGGAGACCTTGGTAAATGGGGTGTGTCTGTCGGAGCCTTGTTGATTGCATCCATGCTCGGGAATGCCTCGGACTGGCGTGAGCACTGGCGTCTGCGTCCCTGCCGAGTGGGTCGGAGAGACTCAGCTGGCATGCCCACTCTGCGACCCTCTCTTGCATGTGCACGTGCATGGCCCCTCCTCGCCTCCTCTGCGTCCGCTCTGCGACCCTCCCTTGCATGTGCACGTGCATGGCCCCTCCTCGCCTCCTCTGCGTCCGCTCTGCGACCCTCCCTTGCATGTGCACGTGCATGGCCCCTCCTCGCCTCCTCTGCGTCCGCTCTGCGACCCTCCCTTGCATGTGCACGTGCATGGCCCCTCCTCGCCTCCTCTGCGTCCGCTCTGCGACCCTCCCTTGCATGTGCACGTGCATGGCCCCTCCTCGCCTCCTCTGCGTCCGCTCTGCGACCCTCCCTTGCATGTGCACGTGCATGGCCCCTCCTCGCCTCCTCTGCGTCCGCTCTGCGACCCTCCCTTGCATGTGCACGTGCATGGCCCCTCCTCGCCTCCTCTGCGTCCGCTCTGCGACCCTCCCTTGCATGTGCACGTGCATGGCCCCTCCTCGCCTCCTCTGCGTCCGCTCTGCGACCCTCCCTTGCATGTGCACGTGCATGGCCCCTCCTCGCCTCCTCTGCGTCCGCTCTGCGACCCTCCCTTGCATGTGCACGTGCATGGCCCCTCCTCGCCTCCTCTGCGTCCGCTCTGCGACCCTCCCTTGCATGTGCACGTGCATGGCCCCTCCTCGCCTCCTCTGCGTCCGCTCTGCGACCCTCCCTTGCATGTGCACGTGCATGGCCCCTCCTCGCCTCCTCTGCGTCCGCTCTGCGACCCTCCCTTGCATGTGCACGTGCATGGCCCCTCCTCGCCTCCTCTGCGTCCGCTCTGCGACCCTCCCTTGCATGTGCACGTGCATGGCCCCTCCTCGCCTCCTCTGCGTCCGCTCTGCGACCCTCCCTTGCATGTGCACGTGCATGGCCCCTCCTCGCCTCCTCTGCGTCCGCTCTGCGACCCTCCCTTGCATGTGCACGTGCATGGCCCCTCCTCGCCTCCTCTGCGTCCGCTCTGCGACCCTCCCTTGCATGTGCACGTGCATGGCCCCTCCTCGCCTCCTCTGCGTCCGCTCTGCGACCCTCCCTTGCATGTGCACGTGCATGGCCCCTCCTCGCCTCCTCTGCGTCCGCTCTGCGACCCTCCCTTGCATGTGCACGTGCATGGCCCCTCCTCCCCTCCCTTGCATGTGCACGTGCATGGCCCCTCCTTGCCTCCTCTGCGTCCGCTCTGTGACCCTCTCTTGCATGGGCACGTGCATGGCCCCTCCTCGCCTCCTCTGCGTCCGCTCTGCGACCCTCCCTTGCATGTGCACATGCATGGCCCCTCCTTGCCTCCCCTGTGCCTGCTCTGTGACCCTCCCTTGCATGTGCACGTGCATGGCCCCTCCTCGCCTCCTCTGCGTCTGCTGTCCCCTGCGCCCGCTCTCCCTGCCCCCGGTGTGGTGGTGCCGGATGCCAGAGGGCCTTTCCTAGCTCTCCAAGCCCTGGGAGTCACACCAGGGCATTGCACCATGCGCCCCGAGCTGCCGCACAGGCCAAGTTCAAGGAGTGCCAGTGGGGGAGCCGCCTGAGCGGAGCCTGTGGGTTCCAGACACTCCAGGGCTGGTGGGAGTGGGGGGAGCCCCCGTTGCCTGACCCTCGTGGACGATCCCCTAGCGGGGTTGGCAGGTGTCGGGTTTTGAAGCGGACAGTTCGGTGTTTGAGCTTTGTGTTCGGGAAACCAGTGGAGACGGTAGAAGTGTCCGGTCTGCTCTGACTCCGACGGGATGTGCATGGTGATGTCGTGGCGAGTGTGTCTGGTGCTCTGGTTGAAACCACCTGCCAGCCCTAGCTCCGAGGAAGCCTCAGGGATTGCCGGGGCAGGGGGCAACAGGAGTTGTGGGTTGTACGCGCACCTCTGGCGGGAGGAGGGGGCGGGGGCTCTTTCCCCTGCAAAGAGCTGCATCCCAGGGCATTTGTCATTGCAATATGTGTAGTGCTGGCGTGTGTGTGTGTGTGGGGGGGGGGGGAGTGTGTGTGCTGGGCGGGGGGGCTGGGGTGTGTGTGGGGGGGCTGAGGGGCT